AAGAGGCAGTGCAAGTACAGCTATTACACTGCCATGGAAACGTGGAGATCTATGAGCAGATTACACAGGGGGTGCAGGAAAAGGAGTATGACAGAGATCAGAAGCAGTACTGCGGGAAAGCCGGCAAACCACAAGACCAGGTGCGTCAACAATCCATCTAGTGCTGCACCCAGACCTACCACTTTCACAATGAGCTGCGTGCTATACTTGGCAGAGACCCCACCAGCAACCCCTAAACCACTGTCGATACCTCGGAGGAGTCCAAGACAGAAACCCCTGTTATGAACAGCAAGGAGGAAGAGGAGAAGAGAGAGATGCAGAGGTAGGATCCAGCCATACCACAAATCAGGACCTGTTTGAGTCTCTACAACAACCTAGTCAGTCCTGCCAGCCAAGCACAGATGAACCCAGTGAAGGGGAAGAGACCTCAGGTAAGTGCATGCATGTATTTTCCCTTACAACATTTAAATTTAAAGATGGCACCCATCCCCAGGTTAACATGACACAGGTATAGACTTTTTACTGTTTTACTCATATGAGAAGAGGTAGCAGTGCAACAAACAGAGGTACATCTGGTGTTTGCTCATTCCCCTATTGGTTTAGGTGGTAGAGGAGGGGCATGAAGAGCAGTTTGTTCCTTGCATCCTTCTGAGAGACTTTTGATGAAACTTTCATGGAGATACTCTGCAATCCTTTCCCAAAGATTTCTAGAGATGGCTGCCTTATTTCTTCCTCCACAGTAGGACACTTTCCCACATCACTCCATGATGAGTTCGACAGGTACCATTGCAGTAAACAGGTTAGGGGCATATAGGCCCAGGCAGCTTTGGGATGCTAGTAACAGCTGAGCTCTCTGTGCCTTGTTACCCGCAGAAGTGAGATATCAGCTAAAATCACAACCACCTGTAGAAAACAGTGCCAATATTCAATACCACTGCCCTATACTCATACCCATGGAATACAGACTGAAATTTTACTGTTTCAACCACAATGGACATCATTTGTGTACTGAAATGGACAGAAATAGTGGTGTCTTTCCAGTTTTAAAGCTCTGTTACATTTATAGTGTATTGCCTGTTGTTTTTTGTACATGGTTTATCTGCACTGTTTTTTGCCATTCCATACCTTTCTGTTTTTTGGAAATAAAATTATTTTATTAATTCACAACTCATAGTGCAAAATGCACAGCACTACTCAAAGAATCCCATATTTGTAAATGTAGAGCACCACACAACTCATAGATTCAAGAAAACACCGTCACAGCTATAAATGTACTGCAAGCATCACACAATTCTTACCAGCACCCAAAGCTTCAGACCCAGACAACAGACCAGCACAGAACACTATAGTGGCTGACTGTTAAAGTCTTTCAAAGCCACCCTCCACTGAATCGCTCCATGCTGAGCTCGTCATAGCCCTTGTGTCTGGTTGTTGAAAGTCAGCAGACAACTGCTCTACCTCTGCCTTCCACCCTGGCAGCAGCTCTTCCCCCTTAACCTCACAGACATTGTGCAGGACATAACAGGCAGCTATAACCATTGGGACATTTTTCACACGGACATCTAATCTAGTGAGTGAACACTGCCAGCATCCCTTCAATCTACCAAAAGCACATTCAACAGTCATTCTGCACCTGCTTAGACAGTAATTCAATCCTTCCTTGGAGCTGTCCAGGTAGCCAGTATACATTTTATGAGCCAAAGGAGCAAGTCTGGGTCCTCCAGGATTACTAATGGCATTTCAATATTGCCAGTCAGGAAAGAACATCCCTGTTTGCAGCTTTCTGAACAGTCCTGTGTTCTTAAAGATGCAAGCATCATGCACCTTCCCTGGCCAGCCCACACTGAGATCAGTGAAGTGTCTTTGGTGATCCGCTAACCCTTGCATAATCATAGAGAAGTGCCCTTTCTGTTGATGTACTCTGTGGCAAGGTGGACTGCCAAATAAGAATATGTATGCAGTCTATCACCCCACTTCAGTGCAGGAAGCCCATTGCTGGAAATCCTTCCATTATGTCCCTCAAATTCCCAAGAGCTACAGTCCTGTGTAGCAGAAACAATTAATGGACCTACACACTTGCATGACAATGGCCCCCACTGTGAATTTTCCAACTTCAAAACGATTTCCCACTAACTAGTAGCAATCCTGCAGGTCTGAAAATACAGAAGAATCATGTGTCCTGTATTTGCAATGTTCATGAGAATGGTGTCGAGCTCTGTGCTTCTGTTAGAAGTGGTGGACACCAAAAAGTGCAGTGCAGGTTTGTGGAATTTTTTTTTTAAAGTATGAAGATTATGGGATATGGATGACATTATAGGATGGAGAAAGTTGCATTGTGGGAACTTGACCCCTAGCTCACAGAAATTCCTGCACGATTCATTTCTACCTCACAACACATTGCCAAAAATTTCCCAAAAGGCATTGCACTGGACAGCAGCTCATGGCACGCTGGGATACCTACCTATAGAGCATTGCATTTTGCATTGACACAAGCACTCCTGGTGAAAATGTGCATCACGAACACAAGCAGCCAAATATGCACATGCATGAGTGATATATAAGGCTATGTTTTAGTTACGGGCATTTTTAGTAAAAGTCATGGACAGATCACGGGCAGTAAACAAAAATTTACGCCCTGTGACCTGTTCGTGACTTGTACTATATGCCCCTGACTAAGCCTTTGTTACTTGGGGGGGGGAAGAGGGCAGCCCAGGGGCGCTCTGGGGGCAGGCAGCCTAGGACCCGCGCTGGTGCTGAGGGTGGGCGGGCGGCAGCACATGGCCTGGGACCCCTGCTGATGCTGAGGAGGGGTTGACAGTCTCCCTACCTGGCTCTGTGTGGCACCGTGGAAGTGACAACATGTCCCTTGGCTCCTAGGCGGAGGCACAGCCAGGAGGCTCCGTGCACTGCCTCTGCCCCGAGCGCCGACTCCACAGCTCCCACTGGCCGGGAACCACAGCCAATGGGAGCTGCAGGGGTGACGCCTACAGGCGGAGGCAGTGCACAGAACTGCTTGGCTGTGCCTCTGCCTAGGAGCAGACCGAGGGACATGTAGCCACTTCTGGGGAGCCCCCCACCCAAGGTAAGTGCCGCCTGGAGCCCTCACCCCCTCCCGCGCCCCAACCCCCTGCCCCTGTTGCCCTGGATTTGAGGGGTGTATACCCCAGAACGTGATCAAGTTAACTGCAGCCATATTATGTGCATTCAGCCACCCTGAATTAATGAAACAGAATACCACATAGTTAAGGATTAATTTGGAAACAGGCTTTTAGAAGCAAGGTTATATCTAGCTGGCAGTTTCTGCTAATCAGAATGGGAGGAGGGGATAAACAAGTAAAGAATTGAGACTAAAAACCTTGGTGGTTGGAATACCTTGAGTCTAAACCTCTCTGATATTAAAAGTTTATTGAAAGTTAGAAAAGTGATGATCCAGGAGGTGTCATTATGATCTATATGTTTTGTAGAAGTTAGTCATAAAAGGTTAGCTAATAGAGTGTACTTTCGAGCAGCCCTCTGAAGACATCTTGAGAGACCTTTTCCCCCGGTGGGTGAACAACTGGCCATTGCGAACCGCCTGTTAGTTACTCAATAGTGATCCAGATGTTAGGTAAATATCTGGGATGTTCTAAACCTATTGCTTATGTTTGTGTGTGCTTAAATCTAAAAAACTGCATTTTTAGATAGAACACGCTTATTCTCCCTATGTCCACCACAAAAGGAATAAAAAGGTTCTCCAAATCCAAACCACTCGGCAGCTCTACTTGTCTTGCCTAAGCCACCATGCACTACATAACTGAAGTCGACGTAACCTACATTGACTTACTGCAGTGTCTGCACCATGCTATGTTGACAGAAGCTCTCTCGTTGACATAGCTTCTGCCTCTCGTTGCGGTGGTTTACAGAAGTCAACAGGAGAGCGCTCTCCCATCGACTTGGCATGTCTTAACCAGACTCGCTAAATTGACACCGCTGCATCCATCACAGCAGTGCTGATTTAGCCCATAGTGAAGACAAGCCCTCAGACACTATGGAGAACAGAGCTATGAGAAGGGACCTCCAGAACAGGATACCTATACACAGGGCCGGCTCTAGGATTTTTGCCGCCCCAAGAAAAAAAATGTATGCGCATCCTGCTTTTTTTTGGTGCCCCCCGGCTCCGCCCCCAACTCCGCCCTATCCCAACCCCTTCCCCAAATCCCCAGCCCCGCCTCCTCCCCCAGGCGTGCTGCATTTCTCCCCACCCCACTGCTTCCTGCGGCTCCCCCCCCATAACCGCCCGCCCTAACTCACCTCCGCTCCACCTGCTCCCCTGAACATGCCGCTGCTCTGCTTCTCCCCCATCCCTCTCAGGCGAGGGAGAGGCAACGCATTCAGGGGAGCAGGCAGAGAGGAGGTGAGCGAGGGTGGGGGGGGGATTAGAGGAACTGCTCCCTGCCCCAGCTCACCTCCTCTCCACCACCGCCACCTACCCTGAGCGCGCCGGCGCTCGGCTTCTCCTCCCTCCCTCCCAGTCTTGCCGCATAGAAGCGGCTGCGCATTCAGGGGAACAGGCGGAGGCGGAGCAGAGGCGAGCTGGGGTGGCGGGGACACATTTCTAGGGGCGGCATGGCCGGCGCCGGAATGCCGCCCCTAGAAATGTGTCACCCCAAGCACCTGATTGTTTTGCTGGTGCCTAGAGCCAGCCCTGCCTGTACAATCACTCCCAATCAAAACAAAGGAGACCATCTTGTATATTGCCACAGAAAAATGTCACCCCATAAAACGCAACTGACTGCCTATGATTTAGCACCTACAATCTGTCAGAAAGTCTCAGCATTTTTTACAGTTCCATAGTTCCAGTCATTAAAATTAACAAATACTGTAGGTTGTATTTTCCAGTTTAAATTTTTAAAATTAACTAAAGTGTATTTTTCAAATGCGTTTATCCTTTCTTATGCACCAAATTAAAAAAAAAAAAAAAGATTAGGATGCAACAACAACAAAAAACACGGTAAGCTCACCTACTGATAGGAGACGCCATGTCACAGCAGGAGTAGCAAAACAAGCAAACACATCATCTGTGCAGGCAAAGTGCGTAAGGTGTGGAAGAATCACAGACTGGCCACGGCACTGACCCCACATATACACATGGCCACCCTGGGTTTTAGCAGCAGAAGTGTGAGCAGAATGGCAGGCTGCAATTTCTATAACTCTAAATTCACAAGCAAACAAAAACACTGGCATAAGGACAAAGTGCAGTGAAAAAGCTTACTACCACATACCTACTTTTGTAGGCTTGCATGCATTTCAAGTTTTATGGGAATATATTCCTCCCCCCACCACTCCCCTCATAAATGACAAAATGTTTCCATAGCATGCAAGACAACTGAAAATAAGGTTGTTTGCTATTTGTAGATATACAGCATCTAGTTACTCCTCTCAATTTTAACCCTGAAAACAGCAAATCACATTTATCATAGAATATTTTACTATTTAATTAATACCACATCAAAGTGCAACCATTACAATATTACACCTGTTCTTAGCGTTACTTCTAACTAATATGCATGCACATGTACTAACTAAATTATTCTGTAGGCCATCTTTTAGAACATTTTCCAAGTGAAGGACCTAGACCCAAGGAAAGCACTAATTAAAGAACATTACCCCCCTCACTTTAGCTATATTAAGATGCTTCACTAACCCTAGAGGTTGATTTTAGGTTTTCAAAACTCCCTCACATTCAATGTTACACAACCCACTGTTTTGCAGTCTGAAGTATAACTTGTCTGATTAGTGGTGAAGTTGTATATATATATATTTAAGACAAAATCTTGCAGCCCTTAGTGTGAGGTAACACTCCCATTGTCATAAAGAACACAGGATTTGGCCAACAACTGATGAAGGCAATATATAACATTTTTTTTAAAAGGTACTAAACATATTTGGACTGCGGCACAAATATTTTAAGCAAAAAATAAATACTGATGTTTGAAAAAAAGCAACAAATTAAGAGGAAATAACACCACACAATATCATATAGCAATGACCTCTTCCTTCTAGCAGGTGGAGACAGAAACAATTGTAAGAGTAGCATTACACATTTTTGAAGTCTTTCACATTTTTGAAGTCTTTCACAGCAGGAAAACCAAAATGGTTTATTCAACAAGACCCTAATATACTCTAGTAAGGAACACATTCACATTTCCACTGATAGAAACACAAAGTATTGCATTATCCATAGAAATTATTCTATTACTGATTATCAGAAACTAAGATTAAGAAATTTGTAAAAGCTAAATTTTCAGGCAGAAATATAATTTTATTCCCTCCAGCCTTTCCCTTACTAATCTAGGACTACAAAACATAGAAGGGGTATTTAATGCAATAGCTACAGGCAAATTGTAAATATCCACTCTTCTGACTTTTTCCACATTTTTTTGTTTGATCAATCTTAATGGTAAACTATTATTAACATAGGAAATAAATTGTAAAAAAATAAGAAGCCTTGTTTTTGGTTGACTCAGTATAGAGAAGTGGCAGCACAGCACCAATGACAGCATACAATTAAAACTCATAAAATACTCTGAGAAGTAGGATGCAGCTGAAGGAGAAAGAGAGGCAGGAAACAGCCAGCCCCAGAATTTGTAGTCTCCCTTTCACATCTATTTATCATGGCAATGCATATGTTTCCAGCTAGGTCAAATTTTAACTTACAAATGTAAATGTCAGCCAACATTAGAATCTATTCAGGTTTAGGTCTGTGAAATAACCATAGCTAGCAATTACAAGTGATTTCTACTAAAAAAGTCACTGTGATTTTGCGCAGCACTTCCGTGATTATTTTGATTAATGCCTGATTATTATAGTGTAAATATTACCTGTCCTTATCAACAATAACTGGTGCAGGGTAAGACTGGTTACTTTTATTGCCAGTGCCTAACTGACCATATGAATTGGCTCCCCATGCATACAGCTGACCTTCATCTGTTAGCACTAATGTATGTGCATAGCCACAGGCAACCTGCAATGAATAATAAAAAAAATCTCATCTTACTTACCAGCAAATTAATTCAGACAAATAAATATATTTTCATATTGTTGATTCTATACCTAAGAAGATAAACACATAGGTAGGGCCCTACCAAATTCACGGTCCATTTTGGTCAATTTCACGGTCATAGGATTTTAAAAATTGTAAATTTCATGATTTCAGCTATTTAAATCTGACATTTCATGGTGTTGTAATTGTAGGGGTCCTGACCCAGAAAGGAGTTGTGTTTGTGTGGGAGGGGCTGTGGCAAGATTATTGTAGGGAAGGTTGCTGTCCTGCTACTCTTACTTGTGCACTGCTGCTGGCGGCGGCGTTGCCTTCAGAGCTGGGCAGCTGGAGAGTGGCGGCTGCTGGCCGGGAGCCTAGCTCTGAAAGCAGAGCCACCACCACCAGCAGCATAGAAGTAAGGATGTCATGGTACGGTATGGCCACTCTTTACTTCTGCGCTGCTGCCTGCAGAGCTGGGCCCTCAGTCAGCAGCTGGCACTCTCCAACCGCGCAGCTCTGAAGGCAGCACAGAAGTAAGGGTGGTAATACTGTGACCTCCCTAAAAGTACTTTGCAACTCCCCTGCAATTCCCTTTTGGGTCAGGACCCCCAATATGAGAAACACTGGTCTCCCTGTGAAATCTGTATAATATAGGGTAAAAGCACAAAAAGACCATTTTTCACGGTTCGTGATGCGTTTTTCATAGCCCTGAATTTGGTGGGACTCTACACACAGGCAATACAACTTACAAAAATAACAAACACAGATCATACTATAATCGGGAACAGAAATAGGATGAGAGATTTTGAGCAACGAAATGCATGTGAGAAAACCTGCTTATATTTTTTAAAAATTCACAAGCCAATAACCTTTTAAGAGCACAGTAATGAAAAATGTACAAAAGAAGAAATAACAGAGGCACATTGAAACACAACAAGGGGATCTCAGAAGCAGGTGAAGTGAGAGAGAACTAGGAGAACTTTACAAATTTTGCAGTAAAACTCGTATCATGGCATAAATTTAAAGTTTGAAACTATGGGCCTGATGCTGTAAATACTAGCTACCAAGTGTAGTGCTAACTACTGTAAATAGTCCCATTGAACTATAGTATTCAACGCTATGGCTTCCATCCAGCTAAAAGCTTAAGACTTAAGTGTTTAAGCATGTGACATCCATCCCACTGACTTCTATGGGACTAGTTATGCGCTTACAGTTAAACATATACTTAAGTATACTTAAGTCCTTTGTTGAATCAAGGCCTATATCTAACTGTAAATACTTGGGACCTAAATCAAAACTTGTTATTAAAGCAACACTTTCTTAAAAGGAGAAAAAGAAAATGGAAAGTAGGAAATAATATTTTTCTTAATTATGCTAGGGACCTCCTTCTCCATTACGATGCCCTCCCAGCTAAGCTATCTCTTGTGAGGGCCCTTACCTGTGAATGGGAATTGGACAGAAAGCTATGTATTTTTATTTATTTCAATTGATAAAAAACATCCATCCAATGTTACAATTAGGAACCAATCTTCAAAAGACTGCTTTCCTAAATCCCCCATAACCATCCACTGACAGATTTCTCCAGCACCATCTCTTATAAATTCATTTTCTTCTTCCTAGGAACAGCCAAGGGGAACAAGGGGGCCTTGGAGTGTGGCCTGGTGGTCAAAAAACTTTGGCTTTGACAAACAAAAGTAGATGTCAATGAAAGATAAGAGTGCCAATTACCTTTCAAGAGGAACTAAACATGGATTATAAAGATCCCTAAAATTCTTCAGATGAAATCCTGGCTCCACTGAAGTCAATAGCAAAACTCCAATTGATCAGCTGGGCTACATTTTCACGCTTCTGTCTAGTGGAGGGGAAAGTTCATTTTTCAGATGTATATTTTCATTATTATGTTTAGGGCTTTAACCAAACCACTAATACCTTGCCTCCATTGAGTGCAGAATATTCCCTTTAGAATCTGCATTTGCCACATGCTATTTCTTCTGTTCATAAAGGGCTTGACATGACATAATAAACATACCCGCTGCACACGAATGCCTTGCAAAGCAGCTATTCTACAGGGTGTTGGCTGATTACCACTGCTACCCAATCCAAGCTGGCCATTACCATTGTAACCCCAGACATAGACCTAAAAAGGAAGATTGAGATTTTAATTAGTTTGCTATGTAGTTTCTCCACTTCTCTTGAAAAAAACATATCTATTTTACAGTGTTATAACAAGTCTCTGCAATGACACCTCCAAAGAAACTCTCTTCTTCTAAAAGGGGCAAAGAGTCCTGAGGCACCTTATGGACTAACAGACGTATTGGAACATAAGCTTTTGTGGGTGAATACCCATGCATCCGACGAAGTGGGTATTCACCCATGAAAGCTTATGCTCCAATACGTCTGTTAGTCTATAAGGTGCCACAGGACTCTCTCTGACTTTTACAGATCCAGACTAACACGGTTACCCCTCTGATGTCTCTTCTTCTAGTGATTTATAAAAATATTTTTGCACATTATATGGCAGGTCGCACACAACTCCGGTTGACAATATCAACTATACAGTGCACTAAAATTCTACCCCATGTATTCTGTTTGCCCAGTCCAAGTCTTCCAGGAATATATCATCCAATACTTAGAATTTTTAGTACATAGAAGTGGACTACTAGTAACTGTTCTGTTCCCTGGTATGCAAAGCAAGCTCTGCTTCTAGCTTCCTTTGTCATAGAGCTCATCTCTTATTTAAACATTGATCCCAAAAGAAAACAAACAAAAATATCTTGAACTGGAAGAAGCAGGTCTTAAACACAAGTGATATAGTCTGAGTAAACTTAAGGATATTATTCTGAATACTTCAAAAAAGCATCTGGGGAAGTATATTTCACTACTCTGCTACCTCATTAGTGAAAAAAGTGTTCCATTCATGTTTTATACGCTGAACTGCAGGTTTTATGAGTTTTATCACATTAATAAACATAACCTATTTGCAATAGCAACCAATTATGGACAAAGAAAAAGAAAAAAGCACTGTCCCTATGGCATCTGTTTTGAAAAGCCTTTTAGATATGTTCAGACAAACTGGAAAAGACAAAACATGTGAATTACAAATAAGAGTAAATCCTGCATGAGTGGATGTGTAAGATTTTTTCAGTCTCTTTTCCTGAAATCTAAACAAAAACTCCATAGGGGAAAATGACAGTTGCTCATCTGTAACTAGAGTTCTCAAAGATGGACTCTACGCATTCACCATCTTGGGTAGAATGCTTCAGAGCAGCACCTGTTGCACTGCTCTTGCACCCCCTCCTCTCATTTTTGTTCCTGAACTTTCTGAAGACCAAAGGGTGTGGTTTTCCAGCCATCTCAGTTCCTGCACTGCTTCCTCAGATTCAAGAATATAATTAGGACTCTGAGGAAGAGGCAAAGGTGAGCATGGACTGGGAATATGTAGAGTCCAGTTCCATGCACTGTACAATTTCTCAAAGAACTCCACTTACAGGTAAGCAGCCTTCATTTCTTCTTTGAGTAGTCTGTACACCTTCCCACTCTTGGGATAGTTTGATAAGCAATACTGTCTACTGAGGACACAGCTGGGACACACAGACCTAATTAAACAGTGTCTTGAGTACTGCCCTAACAATCTGTGCATCAGATCTGGATGCTAAAGCAAGAGAAAGCAATATTTAGTAAATGTGTGTATAGAACTCCGTTTTAACTCTGCAGATTTCAATAATGGAAATATGTCTAAGTCATGCCAAAGAACCTGCCTTAGCCCTAAGTGGAATGTGTACTAACTTTTACAGGAAGAGGGACAGAGGCTTTGTGGCTCCCCTTAATACACAGTCTAACCCATTAGGCAAGCATTGAGATGAAATAGCCTAGCCCTTACTATTCTCTCTGTAAGATATAAAGAGATCTAGGGACTACCTAAAGAGAATGCCTCTGACCTTTTAGCATCTAGGACATAGAGCTCTGGCTCACTTAAATGCATGAGGTCTGGAAAGGATATTGATAGACTAATTATTCACTTAAGATTGAAATCAGTTATTATACGCTGGGAAGGAATTTAGGATGTGTGTGGAGGATTACTTTGTCCTTGTGGAACACTGTGAATGGTGGAGACACCATCAAGGTTTGCAGTTTGCTTATACTTCTGGCAGCTATTGTTTCTATAACAAATACTGTCTTGATTGACAGGTGAACCAGTGAACACACATGTATTGGTTCAAAGGATGGTCTCATTAAATTGAGTAAGGACTAGATTAAAATCCCATGATGGCAGGGGAGTTTCTTGTCTGGTGGACAGATGTTCACTATACCCTTCATAAATCTCTTAACTGAGTCATGGATAAATTCGGTCTGCTGTCCACTGCTAGGCTGAAACGGCAACTAAGTGACTTTCAGCAAGAATACCGATAGGTCAAACAGCTTCTGGTGTAGCAAGTATTTAAGTATGGACTGAATTAATGCTGATGATGAAGATATGTTTTTATCCAATGCCCAAAAGACAATTCTTATCTACTGGAGTCACAGCACTTATGTATAGATTGCTTTTTGGAGTTTAGTAGCATGTGTTGCATGCCTGATGAACAAGCATTTCTCGACCATGCTGTTAAAGTATAGGGACTGTGGGGTCTGAGTGCAAGCTTTGGCTGGCCTCCTGAGAACAGACCTGTGGTAACATCACAGGGAGAGAACCATATACTCACCTGGAGAGATAAGGGTCTGGAAGCCACTGCTGCCTTGCCCATGTTGGAGCAATAAGAATTACCATGGAACTGTAGTATTTATCTTTTGTACTTCTCTTTGGATTAGAGGAAATAGGGATAAAGTGTAGAGGAGGCCTATTCCCCAGCCGGATAGGAATGCATTTGAAATGGACAGGCTGCCTACTCCTGCTCTCAAGCAGAACCTCAGGTATTTGGTATTGTGTCTCACTGCTAACATCTGTTTCTGCCACTGATGGGGTTAGGGACCATTCCTGTAGCTCTTCCCCTCCCTGTCAGGCTGTTGACCAGGCTGTTGTCCTTTCCCACTAGGTGAAGTACTATTGAGTAAATGCTGTCATGGATGCATCAGTCCTATAGTACTTTAACTTCCTTGCACTACTATGTGGAAGGAGTTTCTCCTCGTTTGTTCACATAAAGCACAGCTGTCATTTTGTCAGTGACTACTTGGACTATGCTTTAAGTGAAGTAGAAAGAATTTGAGATCTAGATGGATTGCCGTCATCTCCAATACATAGATATGCAGTCATTATTCAAAGTGGTTCCAACAATGAGTTGTTAGGTCAGGGGTGGACAAACTTTTTGGCCCAAGGGCCACATTGGGGTTGCAAAACTGTATGGAGGGCTGGGTAGGGAAGGCTGTGCCTCCCCAAACAGCCTGGCCCCCGCTCCCTATCTGACCCCTCCCACTTCCCGCCCCCTGCTGCTCTCCTCAGAACCTCTGACCCATCCAACCCCCCATGCTCCTTGTCCCCTAACCACTCCCTCCCGGAACACCCTGCCTCTAACTGTCCCCCAGGACCCCACCCCCTACTCCCTGTCCCCTATCCACACCCCCGCCCCCTGACAGGCCCCCTGGGACCCTACGCCTATCCAACACCCCCATTCCCTGATCTCCTATCCACACCCCCGCTCCCGGACAGACCACACTTATCCAACACACCCCTCCCCGCATTCCCCATCCCTTGACCGCCCCCCCACCAGAACCTCTGCCCCCTGCTCCCTGTCCCCTGATCGCTGCCCTGCCAAACCTCCGCCCCCTGCTCCCTGTCCCCTGACTGCCCCAGCCCCCTTACCATGCCACTCAGAGCAGCATGTCTGGCCGCCGCAGTCCCCGGCGGGAGCCAGACACACTGCTGCGCTGCCCAGCAGGAGTGCGCAGCCCCACTGCCCAGCAGGAGTGCGCAGCCCCACTGCCCAGCAGGAGTGCGCAGCCCCACTGCCCAGCAGGAGTGCGCAGCCCCACTGCCCAGCAGGAGTGCGCAGCCCCACTGCCCAGAGTGCTGCTCTCACGGCAGCGTGGCTGCGGGGAAGGGGGGACAGCGGGGGAGGGACCGGGGGCTAGCCTCCCCGGCGGGGAGCTGAAGTGCCAGGCAGGACGGTCCCGCGGGCCGGATGTGGCCCATAGGCCGTAGCGTGCCCACCTCTGTGTCAGGTCATTGAAGTGCACTCCCCATCCCAGGTTGGACAAATTTGACGTAACAGTTATTGATGGGGATGGAGGAACAAATGCCACAGCTATTTAGCACACTATGACTACCAGGGAAGAGATGGGAGCATCTCTTTTGGGACAATTAGCTTTATATAAATGCTCTTTGAATTTGGCAGGTAATTTTTGCCAGCCAATGCTGAAGAGGTTTCATTCTGAAATGAGCATAAAGCATCATGTGTGCCTGAGGCGATAAGAAACAATATTATTATTTGTTTGGGATTCTTTCACAGTTTTATAATAGCAAACTGAATATTCAGGAGTCCTTCTAAGAAGAGGGCTCTTCCTGAGTGGGCATCCAAAATCATCTCGACTTTGGGGATTTTCTGAGTAGGAGGGTGTGATTTCTTCTAAATTATTCCCAGTCACAGATTTTCAAAAAGTACACATGTACAGTCCATGTAGGGATTCCTACAAAGAAGCCTTGATACCAGACAGCTCTGTGCTGGTGGGGAACCAGGGCGCAGTATCTAGCCTGTCTGACCCATGAAAGACACCCTTCCTCCCCCAGCAGTCTCTGCTTGAACCAAAACTGTTCAGAGAAAAGACTTGCAGAGAGCAGTGAAGGGCGTTGGGAGACACACCTAGACCCCTCCTGACAAGGGTGACAAGATTAAGGCATCTCCATTCGCATACAGAATGGAGAACAGAGAACCGCACTGAACTCTGGGACCAGAAGAGCAGGGAAGCACTGCATCATGGGGGATCTCTGCTCCAGATGTTAATGAACCTACACCTGCACAGACCCAGCTCAGCAGTTATCAGACCAATTCTAGTAATGAATCCTTGATTGATATCCAATATACTGAAGCAGCCTAATTGAATTGTGAGGTCCCTGGAAGAAAACACCACCCATAGCCAAGAGTGATCAGCTCCTATTGTCTAGCCTAAAGAAAACCCTTGAGTCATCAGTTTACCCATAAACAAATCTAGTATTCTCCCTTGAACCATTGTTGTTTCTCTACAAAAACCCCTACCTATGTTCAAGTAAGTGTTCTGATGCTTGGATCCAACAATGCATCAGTTCCACTGGGACTCCATCTTCTCCTGACTGATCGTGCAGGGGGCTACGCCTGTCTCCAGCACTCAGGACCCTGAGCTACCACCATCACCTGGGAACCCCGACCAGTTCAAGCCTCATGGAGTGGGTGAGATCCCCCCCCTCTCTCTCTCTCTCTATTTTCTTTTCTGCCTGAGATATTAACCTTTAATAATGTAACTGTTATGTTTGTTTAGGCTCTCCTTGTGTAATCATCATTATTATTCAATAAATAACTTTTATGGTTAAGCTGGTTGCTTCTCTCTCTCTTTGAACTTTACTCTTCTGTGTCTTTAGGTTCCCCATTTACCCTGCAGCAACGCTTCTTTTACCTAAGCTACAGATCCCTGTAGCACCCAAAAATACTGTGGGGTTTGCTCATCAAGTGGGTTACTACCAGTATAATTGTAACATGAAAGCGGGGATAGGGATGTGCTGAACCTGGGGCACATAAAGGTGGCAGCTTGAAAGTGCTGCTTGACCCAGCCCATTCATGGCAGAATGTGCAGGGATCTGTAACAGTGTGAACTGCATAAGTGCCGACATCAGTGAAGCAAGTACCTGAATGGGTACAAGCAAAGAGAAAAGACTCAATAGTCTTTTCAGGAAAGGAACAGCGAAAAGAGAGATGACAAGATGAATTATGAACAGCTAAAGAAAAATCAGCTGTCCGGGCTATTCAGAGGAAGGCAGCTCAACACTGAGGATCAGAGTAGAACACGGCTAGTTGATTTCTCAATTCTAATGACCAGAAGCAGAATAATGGGTTAGGTATGCAGGGAACTTCCAGCCCACTGGCAGAGAGTCAAGCAGGCGAGGAAAATTGGGGAATCTACCCCCAGAGAGAAACAGGGAAGAGACTGACAATGGCAGCAGCTATGTACCATGAAGGCCAAGTACACCCCGCAACAGGAGTTGTAGATAGCTCAACAACTAGAGCAGGAGAGGCTGCAGCTGAAGAGGGACAGAATGTGTCTGGAAATCCAACAGCTTGCAGACTGAGAGCAGCAGCATCAGTAAATGAAGAGAAGGAGAACCAGTGCCAGTACAAGAAGCACCAACATCAATATGAGAGAGAAGAAAAGCAGAAGTAGTGCTAGTCTGAGGAGAAACAGAAGGACAAGGAACATCAATATCAGCTCGAGATGGAGAAACTGTGCCTTCAAATCCTTAATCCAATAGGTAAAGCCAGACCTCCTGTACCTCTCCTAGTGGGTGGCATAGACTCCAAATTACTTAGAATCATAGAAGATTAGGGTTGGAAGAGACCTCAAGGGGTCATCTAGTCCAATCCCCTGTTCAAAGCAGGACCAACACCAACTAAATCATCCCAGCCAGGGCTTTGGCAAGCCCGGGCCTTAAAAACTTCTAAGGATGGAGATTCCACCACCTCCTGAGGTAACCCATTCCAGTGCTTCACCACCCTCCTAGTGAAATAGTGTTTCCTAATATCTAACCTAGACCTCTCCCACTGCAACTTAAGACCACTGCTCTTTGTTCTGTCATCTGCCACCACTGAGAACAGCCGAGCTCCATCCTCTTTGGAACCCCCCTTCAGGTAGTTGAAGGCTGCTATCAAATCCTCCCTCACTCTTCTCTTCTGCAGACTAAACAAGCCAAGTTCCCTCAGCCTCTCCTTGTAAGTCATGTGCCCCAGCCCCCTGATCATTTTCGTTGCCCTCTGCCGGACTCTCCAATTTGTCCGCAACCTTCCATCCTTCATCACTTTAGGGAGGAGGATGACATGGATGTGCTTCTTATTGCTTTCAAAATGGGGTGTGAACTGAATAAGGTGGGGAACGAGGACATAGTACAGTAGCTGACTCCAGTACTGTCTGGGACAAAGGTCTTGGACATTTTCACCGTTATGGGAAGGGAGGATTACAAAGATTAAAATAATTGTAAACAAGCTTTTTTGACAAAGTTTAAACTGACTCTTGGTATATATAGGAGAAGGTTTCAGGAAATTCAGAGAAGAAAGGGGTATGACCTATGCTAAGGTTTCAGCTCTAATTAGGTATTATGTAAGGAAATGGGGAACTGGTTGGAGGGTCAAAATGGTCGATGAGTCCTACAAATTAATGAATATAAAACAGTTCTATAAACTCTGCCACCCTGATCTGAAATCAAACAAAAATCCTAGAGATATTATTGTATCTGTGAAATTGGCAGACCATTATGTGGCTAGTCATCCTGGTTTGATAGAAAACCTAACAGGCATGGAATGGGATCAGAGTCCAAGGACTGGGCCTAAACTGAGACCCACTCCCAGGGGGGAGGGAAACCAATGGGAAAAAGCAGTGTGCCATACATGGCCAGCAGAGTCACTTTATTCGCAATTGCCCAGGTTGCCCATTGAGTCCCAGGTACAGTGCTAGAAATGTCAGCTGAACATCAACCTCACAGAATTATCTGTGTGACTGAGAGAGGAGGGGAGGGACGGAGGGAGGGAGTCACAGAACATTATATGCCATCAGCAGACAGGCTAACACTGAACCATTTACACCCCAATCCATTGCCTACAAGTCACGCTGCACCCTCCTGGGTGCAGATCCATGGCATAGCTAGTGGGAATGGAATGGAATGGAAGGTGGTAATCAATGGAGAGACATTCACTGGATGGAGAGATACTAGAGCTAAGATGACAGTTAACCCCCATGTCATGAAACACATGAAATGCTGCCAGGATGTGTAATGCGGGTTAAAGTTCCTGGTATAAAAGCCTTCACTCTACATACAGATTTCTGTACAGACCCAGGAAGGGTCTGGGATGCTGGTTGCAGGTATAATAGAAGCTATTCCATATTCGTTGCTTTTGGGGAAGGATATTGTGGTTTCAAAGCAGAAAGGATAAATCAGGTCTCCTCTGTTAGTCCCAGAGTAGCAAGAGATTAGCATTTTGGCTAACACAATGGGATAGCTGACAGGGATAGATCTCCCCTGTCAGTATCCAAGAGGAATCACGTTTCAGAGTAGGAATCAAGTTACTTTCTCAGTGTATGCAAACAAATACCTGAGCAGCAGGACTGACAAGACCTACTGACTTGCAGGGGAATTCTCTGGGTCCTAAAGCCTAGATCAATGAAATAAGCTCTCTGCCTACCTTTACCAGGCACTCGGGGGAAGTACAGAGCATGGTGAATGCAGTATTTCCAGCCAAAAGTAGGGACACTGTGGCAGCTGTGGTGTACTGCAAAAACTATGACATCCACCCTAGGATGGGAAATGCCCAAGTAGGGTGTAAGACATCTGCTTGGGAGATGACAAAGGTAACTGTTGCCAGGAAGGAGGGGAGAGTTTTTCCTGCAATCATTGACTGCTTGATGGTCTGTAAAAATGTAATTGACCCTGAGCAAGGTGGGAGAGGGAATTTTGTTCACCTTGACTCAGTATGTGGGGAACATTAGACCACCACCCCAGTAGGGTGAGGGGAACAATGCTCCACCCCCTTCCTCCAGAGAAGCAGAGGTTAGGCTACCTAGGAACCTATGGGGAGGTGGGGCAGAGAAAAGAATCTGGCAATAGCAGAGGTTTGAAAAAGTCTTCCTTGCTTGATTCTTCTGCTGTTAAAAGCAGCACATGGTTGAGAGTTGCTTCACAAGGAGCCAGTCCTGATATATTTCTCCCTATGGCCCAAAGAATTGCTTCTTGTAACATCTCCAGGTGGGGAAGCAACCAATCACTTGAATGACAAAGGGACACTATACACACTCTCTGGAAATCAAATGGGAGGTATAAGTGAGAGAACTAGGTCTCAAGTGTACAAGTATCAAGGAGTAACAGGGGAAAGAAGAGCCATATGAAAGCTCAGCCGCACAGGTTCTAAAGATAGAAAATATGCTGGATGGTTATCAAATGACTCTGTATGGATTTCTGAATGGCGTATGCTGATTTACTAGCAGAATGTTTATTATCTGAATAGTTGAAATGGGAAATTATGAAAGATAACAGCAGAAATGCCTCCAGGAAATAAAACTGTCCAGGCAATAAGTCTATCAGTTTCCTTACACAGCTCCAAGGGTTGCACCCTGGTACGTGGTTCACAGTGTCACTCACTCAAATTAGGCCCAGCCACCCCTCTGTCACAATGGATAGGTGGCCAAACCAAACCTGAGTGGTGCTGAGACCCCATGTGCCAGGAGTGAGGAGCCATGCCCAGCCCCGTGGGACAGGAGCCACCACTGCAGGCTTACTTTCCAACCCCCACATTCCTGCAGCTTCTCCTGCACCTCAGTTTTAGGGTTGTGGTGCCAGGTGGAGGGTGTGTGTGTACATATATATATAATGGTGGGTTGCAAAAAAAGACAATACAGTTGGTGGGTCACTTTAGTTAAAAAAGTTAGGGAACCACTGGATTAGAGTCTCAAAAACTAATGTTGGGTTCAAATATTTATTCTTAAAAGAACGTAATGAATTAATTTTAAATGAATTATTTTCTGTTTATTGCAGAGATTTGTTCTGAAAGGGGTAATTTTAGCTAATTTGGGTAAAGTATCTCAAAATGATATGTTTATATATGTGGTGGGGACAGTGGGAACAAGTAGGACCATTTCTGATGAAAACTTTCTTATAACAGTACAGATTACTAGATTTTGGAAGTTACAGATTAATATTATTTTCTCAGCAGTTTTAACTGTGATAGTGCTTGCAAAGGTAGATGCTATCAACAATTTGTAGCCAATAATGCTGAATAAAATAAAATTCAGTCAGACAAATTAACTTTAAATTTAAGAACATTCTTACCTCCCCATTTTCTACAACAGCCATTGAGCACATCTGTCCACAAGCTATATTAACAGCGATCTTATTTTGTAGGCAGCTGGTAACTCTTCGAGGAATTGGCTGATTAGCTGTTGAACCAGATCCAACCTGTCCTGAATTATTATAACCCCATGCATACACCTGTTATAGAAGAGTCATTAACAGAATAAGACTGTAACATATTACTTTAACCAAATGTCCAAGAGATATAGAAGTTATATAAACTGCACATATAAAAAAATACATTCTAAACATATGTGGATTACAGGACTGTAGCAACTCTTTTCTATGCATCTAGGAAAGACACAGAAATGGTTGTTTCCCTTTTTTATTTTCTTCCAGAAATCTGACAACTCCTTTCAACTCTAATTTCTAATGCTCGACTAGTTAAAAAAACAAGAAGAAATAATATAAAAGATTATGCATCCTGTGGGGTATACTTGTGATTCTTTGTCTACAGAGTTACTGAAAGAAAACAAAATAGGACAAGTAACTGAACACCAACAATATCTCAGAGTGTAACAGAACAATACTTTGTACCTCAATGGGTTTAGATATTTAACTGTGGTGATCCTTCCACATATGCACAGAGTTTAATTTACTGCCAAATTTAATGGTGTGAACAAATTTTTCACAGCAGGGCACAGTGGGAGAGGTCATAGATATTTTTAGCCATCCTTTGCAATACCAAGTGCTGTTCCTTCATTAGGATCAGCTATCCCATAAACAACTTCCTGCAATTGTGGGTGGACAAACATTGATAAACCTCAGATCTTCCAATTATTATTAAATATTTATATCACAGCAGCACCTAGAGGACAGCCAGGCCAGGTCCCATTGTGCTAGGCATTGTATGTTTTTCTCTTTCCAGCATCCTATATAAATTCCATACAAAGGAAAATGCAGTTTATGCAGATTTATGCTAACTCTTCTCACCTCTCCATCAGATGTTAACACCATGGAATGGTGAGAGCCACAGGCGACTTCAATTACTTTCTTGTTTACCAAGTTAGTAGAGACTTGACAGGGAACTAAACCATGATTTGTTGTACCATTGCCCAGTTGACTATAAGCATTATGGCCCCATGTGTACACTTCTCCTTCTATAATAAAAGTGTGAAAAATCAATTTTAAAACATCTACTTATCTAATAACTATGCATCACAAGATGACAGAAAATGAAAAGTCAAGTTCAACAACGGTGCACACTTCCATATGCCCCCTACGCTATTAATCCTGTGTACACAAGAATGCTATTTTTTCCCCAGTGTTCAATAAATGTCTAAAAGGGTAATACCAAGAGAATCACATTAAAAGAAACTGATAGGAGATAGTGTGGTCCAGAAGAGAGGACATAGGAATGGGAGTCAGATGAGACCTGAATTCTATTCCTAGCTCTGCCACTTCTGGCCCTGGTCAAGTAATTTGTCTCTGTGCCTTGGTTTGCTCATCAAAACTGGAATAATGATACTTTCTATTCTTTGTAAAGTACTTTGAATTCCTCAGATGAAAAGCACTATACTGTGCTAAATACTGTCATTATTTATTAATAAATAATATAAATAATATATTATTAATTATTAGTAGTATTATTATCATTATTGAAATATACCATCTCCACTTTGTATCATTGAAAAGTATATTTTCAAGCATTTTAGGAGCCATAGCATCCTATCAGGAAGGTTAAACAATGTTTGATGTACCACTTCATCAGGTATCTATTGGGATATGAACTACAGAATAATTATTAATCCTTCCACAGAATCTATACCTTTGCATTTTCCCTAATACTATATCAGTCTAAGAAGCAGGATTGTCCATTTCACTCTCACAACTCAGGTCTCTCACAAATAATTGGGCCAACTGAAGAAGGCACACATTTTAAAAATACAATATTCTCACCACACATTACCTGCAGTAGTAACAACAACATGAGGACCACTTCCATAGCTCAGACAGGCTATCTTTTTGCCACATAAAGTATCTAATCTCTGTGGTTCAATAGTGCTCTGAATGTCGCCTGTTCCCAAACAGCCACTGCAGTTGGTGCCAAGCACAAACACCTGTTATAAAATCTTATTGTTAATGTAGCACATTCTTTATTACGACGGTAACATTTACCATTTAAATTAAAATAATCAATCCTAAACTTTCTTTATTCAATAATTAATGTATGATACTTCTCCAGGGTCTATCATCATAATTCTGGGTTCACTGCTAATCTATCTTGAATTAATAATGAATCAAATATTTACCAAATAATATTGCACTAATATACACTTTCTCTGATAATTACCTCATCATTTTCAGTTGCATACAACACTTCATTACCAGCACTACCAAATACACAGGCTTGACGAATTAACTTCAGTTCTTCTTGAGAGCAGAGAGCAAAAATTGGCCATTTTCCAACATCCAACATCTTCAGGGCTGATAAGAAAGTAGCATGTATCACCTGCTGAGATTAAAAAGTGATATGAGATATTTAGAAAAAAGGAAAATGTTCAACCTTGTACAATGAAAGGGCTAAATCTAAAGAAAAATAAAGCAGTAGATAAGAAAGGGTATTACTTTCTTCCCCAACCACAAAACAATGTCTTATTTCAAAAGTAAGCTCTGGACAGACAGTGATTAAAAAAACAACCCTACACATCATGATAAAGAACAAAAGAAAAAATTAGAGAAAAGCACCCAATAACGTGTAGACATACTGAGACAATCAGTTCTGTCTCTAGTTTTCCAAAATTTATATTTCAGAAATTAAATTCCCTTGCTTCCAAGAGGGAACAAAAAGCTATTTTTATGGACTTAGCTTGTGCAGCTTAAGTTCAATGTTCTGTTTCTTGGACTATGACAAACATAATTAATAGTTTTCCCTTTCAATATGTTATGCATGGTTGAACTGTATTACCTATGACTAATTTAGGCCCTTATTCCACAAACATTTAGATTCTGATCCAAAACCCACTGAAATCAATGGGAAAACATTCATTGATTTCAATGGGCTTTGGTGCCTAAGTCTTTTACTTCAGTGGGACTACACCTGGTAGTAGGAGTTTGCAGGATCTAGCTGTCTTTCCAATGTCTGTACAGCACTAAGAACAATGTTTGTGTTAACAGCCACTATTCAGTTAGACACTTAAGAATATGTCTAACTAGAGGCATGACACTAGCCCAACTGTAGTCAATGCAGCTACTCATGATGAAAGCTAAGCACATGCTTAAGTGCCTTGCTAAATGAAGGTCTAAATAATGGTCATAAACCCTTGAAAAACTCCATTAAAGTGAGACTATAGGCAGTATATGCCACTGATTTGGGGAATTCACCCATGGCTTGTGGCCCCTTTGTGCCAGCTCAACAAGTGCATAGGAGCCATAAAGGGTTTCCCCCGCCCCTCTCCATAAGGAATACCCATGCACAGTAGGCCCTGTGCAGGAGCCAGAGAACCAACTTTACACCCTCCACACACATAGGAGACTATCACCTGCTGAGGCTCTGCGGGTATTCTGCGTGGATGGGAGAGTGACTGTGGTGATCCTACACCTCGGCAATTCTATACCAGCGCAATGGCCCTGACAGGCTACTGCCACAAGGACAGAAGTTAGTCTTTTGGGCTGCTGCCCTATCCTGTGCTAGGGGACGAACCAGCCCCCAAACAGATCTCTAAATGAAAACCAGGGTGGATAAAAATCAATGATTGTTTAAAAAAAAAAAAAAAAAAAAAGAAGAGGTTTTTTCCTCAAAAAGCATTTTATCAAAAAAATCCGATCTAAAGATAGTTTTAATTAAGATACATTTTAGCTCAAAGATATCTCATCATGGAATAGGGATTATAAATTCTAATTCTGTACTAAGAGACAATATATTCATGTTTAAGAAAAGTTTTGTAAATGAGTTCCAATAGTTCATGAATTAGGGACCCAATCTTATGGGCTTCCCAGGGCTTTTGTATAGATTATTTAGGTTAATCTTTCTATCTACCCAATGGGACTCGGTGCTCAGTCTACAAGATACGATCAGAGATGCTGAGTTTTGCAGTTCTCAAACTGTGGATTTGTGTCTACAGAAATAACATGCTTGTTAACAAAAAAAATTGGTTTTAAAAAATAAATAATGTATAGAGATGAGAAATAACAGACCTCAACCCTATTGTCCCTCTGCAAATTTGTGTACACAGAGTGAATCCCTTACCTCTCTCTAAAAGTGCAAAGTTTCAAAAGGTTCAATGAATAGAAAGAAGATTGTTGGGGGCGGAATAGATCTGGACAAGGAGAAGAAGTCTGGAGATAAATGTGAGAAGGGAGGGACAGGCAGTGGAAACAAAAGTGAAACGGTTTGAGCAGCATATTCCAGAAGTCTTGAGGTCTTTCTGAGTGTAACCTTCATTAATCTGAGATCTACCATACCATTCTCTCACTAGAAGGGAAAACCTACAATGGCAGCAGGCCATAAAAGTTTGGGAATAAGAACCATTCAAGAAATATATGTTTGCTGATGATGTTTTAAAGAAAGTCACACCAGTGAACTGGTGGAAGTCACTTAAGCACTTGGATTCAGAGACTGTTGAAGTGATAATCTCACTTTTAACAGCAGTAGCTTCTTCTGCCAGGGTAGAAAGAATATTTTCTTCCTTTGGACTAATTCATTCCAAACTGAGAAATCATTTGGGACCTGTAAAAGCAAGAAAGCTTCTTTTTCTTTTCCAGATTATGAAGAAACAGGAAAATGAAGGTGAAGATGACTAAATTAGCTGCAGAAGCCAATATTTTAAGTTTCTCATGTTAACCTCTCTGACACAGTCGATTTAATTTTTGGTTTTTTAAAAAATATGTTTCATTCAACTATTTTAAAAACAATTTTAACAGAAACAAACCTGATTTTAAAAAACTTGAATGTTTAACTAAATTCAAAAATTCATATGGTTGTTTTGTTAAAATATTATATGTTTGATGTTGAAGAAAAAAATCCAGAATACACAACGTTGCTGGTTTAGTTCAATAAAACAATTTACAGGTCTGTCTGGTGATATTCTCCTCCTAATACAGCATGGTAAGAAAATCCTCCAAATATTAATGATTAACCTATTGAGCTGGAGATAGTTCACTTCCCAATGACTTCATAAATATCTGCTTCAATTAACTTTGGTAAATGAAATAACCAAACAATCATTCATTTTCTGATATAGCTGTAAAACTAATCTGAAAAGTTTTCAAAATAAATCACTTTAAAAATATATAGTGTGTACTTTCTAAAAATGAAACCTACATCTATCTCTGAGTTGTGAAGAATATCTATTAAGGTTATAACAACCAACAAGAATGCACTTTTATGTAGAAATTTATGATTATTTTTTTCAATATCTTCATAAATGATCTGGAGGATGGTGTGGATTGCACTCTCAGCAAATTTGCAGATGATACTAAACTGGGAGGAGTGGTAGATACGCTGGAGGGGAGGGATAGGATACAGAAGGACCTAGACAAATTGGAGGATTGGGCCAAAAGAAATCTGATGAGGTTCAATAAGGATAAGTGCAGGGTCCTGCACTTAGGATGGAAGAATCCAATGCACCGCTACAGACTAGGGACCGAATGGCTAGGCAGCAGTTCTGCAGAAAAGGACCTAGGGGTGACAGTGGACGAGAAGCTGGATATGAGTCAGCAGTGTGCCCTTGTTGCCAAGAAGGCCAATGGCATTTTGGGATGTATAAGTAGGGGCATAGCCAGCAGATCGAGGGATGTGATCGTTCCCCTCTATTTGACATTGGTGAGGCCTCATCTGGAGTACTGTGTCCAGTTTTGGGCCCCACACTACAAGAAGGATGTGGATACATTGGAGGGTCCAGCGAAGGGCAACAAAAATGATTAGGGGTCTAGAACACATGACTTATGAGGAGAGGCTGAGGGAGCTGGGATTGTTTAGCCTGCAGAAGAGAAGAATGAGGAGGGATTTGATAGCTGCTTTCAACTACCTGAAAGGGGGTTCCAAAGAGGATGGCTCTAGACTGTTCTCAATGGTAGCAGATGACAGAACGAGGAGTAATGGTCTCAAGTTGCAGTGGGGGAGGTTTAAATTGGATATTAGGAAAAACTTTTTCACTAAGAGGGTGGTGAAACACTGGAATGCGTTACCTAGGGAGGTGGTAGAATCTCCTTCCTTAGAGGTTTTTAAGGTCAGGCTTGACAAAGCCCTGGCTGGGATGATTTAACTGGGAATTGGTCCTGCTTTGAGCAGGGGGTTGGACTAGATGACCTTCAGAGGTCCCTTCCAACCCTGATATTCTATGATTCTATGATTAAATCGAGTCTTTCTGACTGGTGATTTAAATCATGATTTAAATCCACCCTGATGAAAGCAAACTATTTATTTATTTCAAATTCTTAGCTATTGACATCACTGCAATATTTGTAAAGACCTAGTTTTTCAGTTTAGTCTAATCTGGATGTTAGTTACAATTTGTGGCAAACAATAAAACCTTAAGTGATAGCCTAGACCAATTAAATAAATAGCAAAAAAAAAAAGTGAGGATTTCACCCCTGGTTTCTTATTTTTATGTATTTGTTTTTAAAGGACAGAATTTAAATAGATTTGATTTTAAGCCAACAATTCTAAAATAGTCAAACAAACTGTTTTAAAGTAATATGTACTTCATAAAAATTAGTCCATCAGAGAGATTAAAATAGCAGTCAGTCCTTTATTAAGGGGAGGTAGGGATGGGAAAGGATTTAATAATAGGTATTTAAAAAAAACACAATTACTACTAAATATTCATTTTTAAACAAGCATTTCAAAACTATTCATCATATAACTCCCCCATCATATACTTGAAGATATTAAAAACTTTTAAAAAATTCATAATCCCCATTACATTACCAAATCTTTTGATGAAAAAGAAAACCTCCTTTAAAAGTCTACCCAAGAACACCCTTGCACTTGAAAAATATCCACATTTATTTTCAGGCGTCTGAAATAAACAAAGTCTTCATTATCTTCCTCCTTTGTGGTTTTAGATGTATCTGTTTCAATACTGCTTCAGATCACCAAATATATAATCTTTGTGAATTTATCTATCATTTAGACTTCCATATGTAAGTATAAAAATGTCTTCTGAATAAGGATAAAATCCTCTAGCACAAGCCAATTACCTCATAACAAGTTTGCAAGTTTAAACAATCTAAACAAACAATTCTCCACCAAGACTTCTGTACTGAAATAGTGTCTGAGCCTCAATCAAAATTCCTTCGATTTGTATGTTATCAGTGACTATTTATCACCAAAGATTGTAGAATTCAAAGTTTTAATAAAATTTTGCATCAAATAGAGTACAGCTTGTTTCTCCAAAGTTACACTGATCCTAAAACAAAGACAATAAACTTTGCAATTATGGGGCCTGATGACCTGCGTAACGATCAAGATAACTGCCAGCTGCAGT